TTATAGATACTGGTGTCACCGACAGGCCTTCAAACACTTTAAGAAACTGAATCTCCTACTAAACATGTCATCATCTGGCCTGATAGTGATTGGAGCTGTTGCTGGTGGTTTGACTGCCAACCCAGCCATTCTAGGAAGCATATCAGGCGCTGGTTTAGTTCTCAAAACACTTTCTGACACAAAGAACTATAAACGAAAAATAGAAATGTCAAAGTTTGCTTATTCCACTTACCAGAAAATATTACTTGACCTCCGTACCGCTTTGCGAGGGGGGCCATTTGACAAAAACGATTTCCTAAAGGAACTAAATATACTAGATGATACGATCGTGGACTTTGCCCCATTAGTAACAAGATTCGAAAAGCAGTACGCTAAAACGTTTCTCTCCCATCCAACAGATCAATAATGCCTCCTTAAAATTATTCTATTGACGTCATCCTTAATGTGGCCATAAACTTTGTCCCACCATTCATTGTAATATTTTAGTGTATTTTTTATTCGTGTATAAGGAATAGACTTGTATTTTATCCCTAAGATGTCAAGTAGTTGTTTGATGATATAACTTACACTAATAAGCCGTTTTCTGCCCACATCTGGGAGTTCAATACGGTCAAATAGTTGGAATATTCTCAGAATACTCTCTCTATCATAATAATCAAGTTGGATATTATTTTTTGCGCTATATCATTTAGCGTATTGATGATATGATATTTTCTGTAGTAGATAGACTTTCTTTTTATCCTGTATCTGTTCTCATAAAAGTCAATATACTCGTCTGCTGATAAATAGTCGTGGACTTGCCCACAATTCTTACACACAAGAAAGTTATCCTTGATCAGTCTCATAGAATCGCAGCAAAAATCTCGCTTAGGCTTACCGGGATCCTGCATCTGTTCATTACAAAAGACGCAGTTAGCATAATCCTCTTGGATCAATAATTCATGAATTATTTTATTGCACATCATTACTATACTATATTTACATTTTTTCTCTTAAAGCATGTTTAGTTGAACTGGATTGTTAATTAATCGATCAATTGTTGTTGTTTTTTTGTGATCTTGGTTAACGCTTCTTCTTTGGAACACTTATTATAGCGCGCCATTGTTTTGTAACGTTTACAGTCAATCTTAGTGTCGTAGTATAGTAACTTATTCATTAGATCATCTTTGATCTTGATTTTATCACCAAACTTCTCCCGTAATCTTTGTCGAAGTTGTTGTTCATTCTCAATTTCAGCATGATGAATCTTCGGTTTTGGTTGCGATTTAGTCACATGCTGTTTGTTTAGTAATCTGTTACCATACTTGATCGCATAATGATGGATATGTTCAGCTTCTACTTTATTGAGCTCTTTTCTATCCCTACATGGACAGCAAATTATTGGACGTATAGTTGGTTTCATATTTCTATATTTGAAGACTGGTGATTTCTTGTCATTGATATGTTCATCAAGTCGCTGTTGTAGATTCCGTATTGAACATCCCACATACAACTTGTCAATTAATTCAAACGATATCTCATACACTTGACCATTATGATAGTCATCGTTAAAGTAACTATTGACAACTACTGATGGATACTCTTTTGGTTTACAGTAATACTTCGCTGGTTTATCAATCCTAATGTACTCGAGTTTAGTAGTTCGCGATAATGCCGTATACATTTGCTTTCTGTCCATCTGGTTAGCGTCGTAAATATTGTAAGGTCTATCGATAGTACCACCCTGGTATTTGTATACTGTGCAACAAAATGCGGGAATAAAACTATCTCTAAATTCACTCAGCTTCATTGTTATCATATTATGTTCCTCATCTTCAACCACTACTTCATTCTTATCAAAGGTATTGATTTTACATTCTTGATTATTGAACAAATTATGTTGTCGCATATTCTTTGTAGCAAGTAACGGCATTTCGGCTGCTATCACATACTTCTCAAGTCTACCCTGATAACGAAATCCCACTAACATACTCTCTTTATCAGCACTAAAACGGTTGCAGCAGTCTTCTGTGACACGTCTTCGTGTTTTATTGAGGTAACAGATATTTGTATACGATGGTTGAGGTAGTAGCATTGTTTCCTCTATCTTATATGTTTGTAGAAACTTGTCGAGAAACTCTTTTGCTGGAGTATCGTATCTTGCTCATTCTGGTTTGTACTTCATCTTTACCCGTTTGGGGCACATCTCACTTATTGGAATTGACTTGAGATAATCGTAGTATACTTTTGTTGTTTCTTCGCTGTTACATTGATTCGGATCACCAAACATGAACACTTGATTATGGTAAATACTAAATGCTTGATATACCAGCGTCATCCAACGTAATGGGATCATTGAAAACTCATCGATAAATTTTGTTTTGTCCTTGAGAGAGTGGATATCGCGTCCATACTGATCGAAAAACTAAAGATCGAATGTATAACATCGCCTGGCTAATTCTGGTTGGTTCAGCTTACGAAACACCGATTTTACGTTCTCTACTGCTTTGTTTGTAAAAGATAGTATTATGGGGTTATCGACCTGAGATGCCATTTCACATAATCTATATGTTTTACCACTTCCGGCCATTCCATAGTAAATAACGCCGTTGCCCACATAATCATCATAATTGTCAGTTTTAAAGTTCTCCCTATAATGTTTCTCAAAGTATACTAATTTACTGTCCGTTTGATAGACATTACCAATATTCTCAGGTTTGAACTCGACATCTTTCTTGTTTGGATAACTATTTTTTGGGTTACTTATGAATATTCCATCAGTGTTGACAGCATATAGTTTACTATCCTCTTCCCAATTATCGTATATCATTTCGAGACGGTTAGCGATGGCTTCACTGATGACAAATCTGTTAATCGATGCATTGTCTGATAATATACGCTCTACTTTACTTTCTCTAACAAGGTACAGTTCATTTTTAGTTGTAGGATTCCGATAACTGTCAATAGTGATATTCCGATTCTCAGCAAGTGCTGAAGCCCAAATGCATTGAACAGTATCCATTGACTGACATACAAACCCACTATCTTTCCTGCTATACCTCTTTCCGAGATTTCCGATGAAGGAATTTGCGAGTAACTTTGCCTCAGACTCTGGAAATAGACTGAAGATTGCTAACAGGTAGTTCTTGAAAGTATCACAACGCAATGTCTTCCGTGACGGTATATACCATTTGATCTGTGTTTTTGGCATATTAAACTTCTCGATTAATATTTTTATGGTTCGCCTGCTATAAAATCCAGCTTCTATCCCGACGTCGCTGTCCCCCAATGGTATTTCATATTCGTCGATATAGTATTCGCCTGGTACTAGTTCATTATTATCGTACGGCAATATTACATCATTTATTGTGTAGAGAGGTATCGATTCCGTATTGTTAATCAGGATACTTGGATAACACTTGCAGATATCAAGTGATGTGACAAACTCAGGTAATTCCTTACTTGTACACCATTGAAGAGCTCGAGGATAAAAATCATCAAGTACTTCCCGTGTTTTAGTGTCATACTGTGATTCAGGGAGGTATCCTCTCATGTGTTTGAACATCGATGATGCCAAAGCTGTATATGATTGATTGCACCACATAAAATCATGTGTTTTGTACATCTTGAATAACCTCCTGCATATCTCCTTTCTAATGTCATAATCATTGTTTAGTATGTACATATTATGTTTGTGGTCCATAAAACCGTCTAATCTTCCGTTATTATCGTAATGTAAATACTCGACAAAATAATTGGTGCGTATCATATATTCTTCAATTATGGGTTCTATTTTTGTGTCCGGCGGTAACACAATTACGTGATTCTCTATTGTTAGAAGTGTTGGTTTGTTTGTTTTGTTGTCCTTTTGTTTGACAATGTCAGCAGTAGCATTATCGACAAGTTGTTGATACTTAATATAGCTACTCGATCGATTTGACCATTTGACTTCCGACATGTAGCGCCATAGATTATCAGCGCCACCTTGGTTAGCTTTTGTAGCGATCTGTTTGAGGTGGTTATCTTGAATGGGGTATAGATGGTGATCTTTGACATAGAATACGAGGCTTATATCTCTTGATGCACTAGCAATATGTTTCATAAATTTCCTCCATGTTGAATCATAAGCGTGGATTGATACATTTGGATGGCATTCTTTAGCCCATGTAACTAACTCTTGTGTTGACATCATTGAAAAAATTGGAGCATATACTTCCAATTCGTCACTTAGTTTTTGGTACGTGTATTTCTGGAATCCTTTCTTACCCTTGCAGTTATGCCAAACAAAATCAACCATACAACCCCTTTGTTTAATCTGAAACTGCTTGTCCAAAAAGAATTTGTTCAGTTTGAGAGCACCAGCTTTATGATCTTTGAAGAACTGAGTATTATGTGTCGAAATATCAGCCCCAATTTCGGCTATAGTTTCTGTTGATAAGACTGTGAAGTTATTTTGGAGTAGCGTATACATTAAAAACTTGTATATATCTGATTTGTCCATTTTTGGGACTTCCATTTTGAATGGCCCATATGTCTTATCAATGAACTCGGTTCTATTGCCAATTGTATGTTCAATAACCGCGTTTATTGTGATTTGTGCCCGTTCTCGTTTACCAGGCATCTGTTCTAGTCTTTCGTGAAACAAATTTTGAAATGATGATTGTTGTTTATATTTTGACACTCTAGCAAGTTTCAATTCCTCATCCCGCATATTTTGCAATGAAACAGGTTTTTTATCTAACCTAATAGTAGGAGCTAGCTTATCGGACAGTTCCTCAAAGTACTTGATTTTGTCCTTAACTAATGCTCGCGCTGCTAATCGTGTAAGAGAAGGCATTCTGCTTGGCTGTTTGGCCGGTCGCTTTATTGATTGTTCCATTTTTTCGGCGGCCAACTGTACTAATGATTTGGGCTTAGTAGACAAACTACCATGTGGCTTAGTGAGCTTATAGCTGCTCCTGCTGCTTTTATTCTGATATTTCCCCATGAGGGCATATGAGGGAATTCCCCCGTATGCTCCCATTATTATATTTCCTATTATTATATTATATAAATATTTTTCTATAATATACTAAATCCTTATTCTCTTAGATAATTTATGATTCAGTCCAAATATTCGAATCTGTACCAGTAGTCATCAAAGTTTGACCGAGTACTATGATGAATTCTTTCACAAATATCCTGTACCCTTGCTGAATGAAAACCAAGTTCCTTACCAGCACATGACATACTCGGAAAATAATGGCGATCCCCGGTTGTCAGATTAATAGCAACCACCGGTCTAGGCGGAGATCTTTTCCCACGATTTTTGGCAGCTTTTATACTATTCTCCTGAGGTGTCAGTAATTGCAAATTACATAATCTGTTATCAATCCTGTCATCATTAATGTGGTCGATCACAAGTCCATCTGGTATAATACCATGATAGCATTCATAAACAAACCTGTGGACCTGTACCGTTTTCCGCACTTTTGTATTAAACAGTACTGAACAGTACAGAATAAATAACCAGATGTTTTAAGTTTTCCCAATAGTATAGCCTTCCGATCGATATTTACAACTTTACCACATTTGCTTGCAGCATATTGGTCATAAACAGGATGAACTCTAAACTTGAGCCCGTTAACATGAATTTCTCTTTTATACTCCATTACTATATAGCAGCGTCTTCTCTTTATACCACTTTCGTTTTGTCTAATTAATTAGCAAAAAATAACCAGTCCAAACCACCCCAAACCGGTTCAAAAATGCTGACATCAGCAAGAATCCCAAAATCTAAACTGAGCGTGAAAAACGGGCGGCACAGCTGTCGTAGTCGTCAGTACCATAAAAGCCGTGCGTCAAAACATAGAGCAGTTAGGATGCGATATCTTTGAGACCAGGTCGTTGATTTTCTAATTCTTAGCACCCTAAGTTCAGTTTTAGTAAAGATGACAGAAATATCCAAGCGCCCAATTAAGGACATTTCATTCTATCCTTCTTCTGACAAATTGAAATCCTTTGTTGTTTTGGACAAGCATGAGTGTGTCTCAGAACGCCAGAAACTGCCAACTTTGCATAAGAACACTTGCGCTCCTACAATTCTGAACAATCTTTTCAGACTGAACAGAACAGACTGAAAGCGACGTAAAATGAGGGACAACATAATCCAGAGATATCTGCCTAGAATAAAGAGATTCCCTACTTCAGACGCCACACCCATGGGTGCAGTGTAACCCAGTAATTCTTTAGGTAGAGCTAACAAACATAGGGTTCACTTTAGGTGGCACACCCATGGGTGCAGTGTAACTCAGTGATTCTTTAGGTAGAGCTAACAAACATAGGCTGCACTTATGGTTGCACACCCATAGGTGCAGTGTAACTCAGTGATTCTTTAGGTAGAGCTAACAAACATAGGCTGCACTTATGGTGGCACACCCATAGGTGCAGTGTAACGAAGTGATTCTTAAGGTAGAGCTAACAAACATAGGCTTCACTTGTGGTGGCACACCCATGGGTGCACTGTAACCCAGTGATTCTTTAGGTAAAGCTAACAAACAAAGGCTGCACTTTAGGTGGCACACCCATGGGTGCAGTGTAACCCAGTGATTCTCTAGGTAGACCTAACTAACATAGGCTTCACTTCAGGTGGCACACCCATGGGTGCAGTGTAACCCAGTGATTCGTTAGGTAGAGCTAACAAACATAGGCTTAACTTTAGGTGGCACACCCATGAGTGCAGTGTAACTCAGTGATTCTTTAAGTAGAGCTAACAAACACAGGCTGCACTTTAGGCGGCACACCCATGGGTGCAGTGTAACCCAGAAATTATTTAGGTAGACCTAACAAACATAGGCTGCACTTTAGGTGGCAATCCCATGGTTGAGTGTAACCTTGTGATTCCTTAGGTAGAGCTAACAAACATAGGCTTCACTTTAGGTGGCACACCCATGGGTGCAGTGTAACTCAGTGATTCTTTAGGTAGAGCTAACAAACATAGGCTGCACTTAAGGTGGCACACCCATGGGTGAGTGTAACCCAGTGATTCTCTAGGTAGACCTAACAAACATAGGCTTTACTTCAGGTGGCACACCCATGGGTGCAGTGTAACCCAGTGATTCTTTAGGTAGAGCTAACAAACATAGGCTGCACTTTAGGCGGCACACCCACGGGTGCAGTGTAACCCAGTAATTCTTAAGGTAGAGCTAACAAACATAGGCTGCACTTTAGGTGGCACACCCATGGTTGAGTGTAACCCAGTGATTCGTTAGGTAGAGCTAACAAACATAGGCTTCACTTTAGGTGGCACACCCATGGGTGCAGTGTAACTCAGTGATTCTTTAGGTAGAGCTAACAAACATAGGCTGCACTTTAGGTGGCACACCCATGGGTGCAGTGTAACCCAGTGATTCTTTAGGTAGAGCTAACAAACATAGGCTGCACTTTAGGTGGCACACCCATGGGTGCAGTGTAACCCAGTGATTCTCTAGGTAGACCTGACAAACATAGGCTTCACTTTAGGTGGCACACCCATGGGTGCAGTGTAACCCAGTGATTCTTTAGGTAGAGCTAACAAACAAAGGCTTCACTTTAGGTGGCACACCCATGGGTGAGTGTAACCCAGTGATTCTCTAGGTAGACCTGACAAACATAGGCTTCACTTCAGGTGGCACACCCATGGGTGCAGTGTAACCCAGTGATTCTTTAGGTAGAGCTAACAAACATAGGCTGCGCTTGAGGCGGCACACCCATGGGTGCAGTGTAACCCCGTAATTCTTTAGGTAGAGCTATCAAACATAGGCTGCACTTTAGGTGGCACACCGATGGATGCAGTGTAACCCAGTGATTCTTTAGGCAGAGCTTACATACATAGACTATACAGGTGTACATCAGATGGCAACTCGTTTTCTTGTTTAAAAGTTTGTCATAAAGTGCTACACCATGGCACATTTCTTTATTGCGCGCTTGATACATTGTTTTGACGCACAATTGAGAGTCAGGAGAAGTGGTATTGTCTAAAACCGTATAGCAAAATTAAAGACAAATTTACACACATCACAGAGGTAAGGTAAGGTAATACACGTTATTTCCTTCAGGTACATTTACATTCAAGTATAGAAAAATGACCACCTAACTAAGCTAGAAATGTCTAAATTAAGGTTTTTAATTTTAGTTTAAAAACATTATTGCCGCACCTTCAGAGACAACCTGTTTTACAACACTCTTCCGTTATAAGAAAGGCTTCTTTTTTAAAATTCAGTACGGGGTTGTGGAACAGTGATCTTGTATTCATGCATTTCCTCTTAGGTTATAAGCGGTTAAATCGTATTCAGCGACGAACAAAACGCGAAGCGGTCAGATATTCTACAACTGTGTTCTTTAAAGTGTTGTGCATTAATATTATATCCTAACTAACTACGCACTGATGGAAAATAAGTTTCGGCCGCTTTAAATTTTGAAACAATTCACTGGTACTGTAGTCATAATTTGAGCGGAAAGTTAGCATGCGAGCAGGCCGATTCTGTTGTAGTTTCCGCAATGTAGAAGATAATACGGCAATGAGGCTACCGAGGTCCGTTCCCGAAATTACAACTACATGTAGGATGAAATGTATTCTGCGTGCAGACGTCTCCTTTTCCAGGTTAGGTTAAATAAACCGTACCAACGGTTTGTTTGACAAAGCTCTGCGAGACGGTTTTTCGATGATTTTATTAATTTTTCCGATCCAATTTTTTTCGTCTTTATTTTCGCGGCTTTTGCGATACAAACTAAATTCATTTTTAGTTGTGATGGCATTACACTGCTTGATCATGGCGGTTTGGAAGAAACTGAACATATCCGTATTGCGCTTCGAGATTTCGCAAAATCGCTGCGGGAATTAAAAGATATTTTCTTCCAAAACCGCTTTTTCACCTTCATTGTCGAGTCATTTGTCTCGTTTATCTCGTTTTCTAAAGATCCCTGAGAACTTAATAAGACAATGTGTTTTATTACTTACAGCCTGAAAACCTGATTTATAATGACCAGATCAAAACAAAACTGACCTCTGAAATGGAAGAAGAAAAGCCTTTTAGTTTTGCCGGCTTCAGCCTGCCGACGCGATCGTGTCTGGTTTGCTTTCATATGATGACATTTTCCTGACAGAAGGGTGTCGGGAAAAACACCTCGCATGGATCATACGTGACAAAATCCGCCGCGCCTAAGCTAATAAAGAAAAGTCTCCTGAAAGGCTCCATACAATTCCTTATAATAAAATTATAAGGAATTGTATGGAGCTCTCTGGGATACTTACAGTGCAAGCCCTGTGTGTCTTCTCATGTGTGTCAATAACAAAATGCTTGAATCTGATTGGTTCTTAACCGCTCATATTTCTGGCTTAATTTTGCTATTGTAACTCCAAACCTGTCCTATTTGACCTGTCCGATTACCAGAAGCTTGTAATCTGAAAGAACCAATGAAAATCAAGTAACAAATGCCACTAGCCAATGAAATTTAGCTGCATAGCACATGATAACCAATCACAATCAATAAAAAAATAGTGACCAGGTAAGCTGTCCATGATCTTTAACCGGAAACTGGATGAAACTAACTAGTCCAGTGACTTTTTTTAAGATATTGTTTCTTTAGGCTTTGACTGCTTGTTGAATACAAAAAAATACATCATACGGTCGGGCTTCCACATTCCGATAATTTCAACCAAAGTTTGTAACCGATCATTTTTTTGCGAAATGGAATCCTTCTCTTATATTAATCAATATTCCAAGACTGAGGTTCTCACATTTTGTTAGTGACACAATTAATTGGTAATAGGACTTCCTGTCATACAATTCAGGGGTAATCGGGCTTGTAATTTCAAAACGGCTTACTCCCTGAATTGTACTCCCTCAGTGCTATTATTACAGAGGAGTTGATAGTATAAGTCTCTATTGGAATGAGTTTCACATATCCACCACAAGATAGTTACCAAATGCCATTCAAAACATTCTGAGAGCTAATTTAAGAAGTGTCCCTTTCGTCTAACGCTCGGAGAGCAGAATAGAGTGAAATGTCACACGTATTGTAACATGAAAATGAAACATATGCTCCTTGCAACTGCGGGATTCTATTTCCACAGATTAGGTTTATCGCTGAGAGGAATATTATTGGTACTGAAGGTTAGAGGAAGCATACCAAGTAGCCATGTTCATCAGTGTTTCCAAAGGATTGTAATGTCAATGGTGAGACATATGCACCAGAATCGTTCCGTTGTTCTGGAACAGGAGGAGGTATATTACTGTATTCTGGCCTGTTACTATTTAAATACTTTGGTTCTACGTCATCAAAAGAAGTTATCAAAACAGACTGCCCTTGGTTTCCAGGAAGTTCAAACGATTCTTTGTCATTAGTTAATGTAATATTGTTTTGTTGCAAAGGGGTATCGTCCAACGTGTTTCTTGGCTGTAACGTTTGCAGTGGGTGTGTAACAGTTGCTTTCCTGAAACGCGGATTTGAGGCCTGACCGAAGGGCTTCTCTATTTTCTGGGCTTCCCTGGTGTCTGGCTCTATAGCGTTTGAAAACTCTTGTGATTTGGCTCTTGGATTTTTCCTCACAGTCAAATTTCGTTCTGGATGCAACTGGTCCGGAGATGCTGAACTTTCACTTGGGTCAAGTGCTGACCTGCTGTCAGAGGGATGGGGTGAACGTTCCTCCGGCATGGAAATCATTGCATCGTTATCACTTGATGGAACTACAGAAACTTCTTCAGAACTTTCTAGAACATCGGGATTTTCATATACCGCTGTTAAAATAGGAGTTGGTGCGCGAGGACGCTTACGGAGGTCTTCATTTTGAGCATCAATGATATCCTCTCTGGAAGGGCTTCTTTTCTCTACTCTGTGTCTTCTTTGCCACATCGCCTTTAAAGCATAAAAGAATGAAAGAATAAACAGAAATTATCGAAGAAACGAACAAACAGCAATGAGAGTGCTATGTACCATGTGAGTTTTGTTCGTGGGCGCACAGGACTGCTTAGCTGACAAGTGACAAATAAGTACGCATGCGCATATTCAAAATCTTATATCGGTGTACCGTTGTAGCCCTAGACTGTTAAGTATACTTGATGCTGATGATCCCTTAAAAAATGTATTGAAACGGAAATTTTATATCAATTTTATGCCATCTCAAACGATTATAATGGGATCTGTAGACCCGTTAAAGCCTTGCCATAGCGTTGTAACTCCTTAGACACGAGACTATTCCTATGTCTCTCTCCACTCAGGTGTAAAACAAGTGTACTAGGACATACTCGTTTGAGGTAATCTTGCAAGGGACCAAGATCTCATCAACGAATGGAGTATTTATACTCCGGTGTGTTTTATGCTTAAAGAAGAACGCTCTCACAGCGGCCTTCAGTCGCGCTTGCTTGGAGATTAGATCGAAAAAAGAGGAGGCGATTAATTCTACATGAAACAGGATTTACTCGCTAAAGGTTTTTTACTTCCCACTTTATCGACGTGGATACTTTTTATTTGTTTCTGAATTGATTTAGTAGGCGTGTTAGCGACGACCGGAAAAACGCCCGTGGTCGCAGGCTATACGCGTGAAAATTCAAGGGCCTCGATTCCAGAGAAATTTCATCATTGCCAGAGATCAAAAAGTGATTTGCATGGCACGTCACTTCAATCATCGCCGAACATAAACCGCATGCTCATCACAAGATCTATTTGCATACGATGAAAGTTTATAACACCCGACCATCGCAGTTTTGCTAAAAGATTCTTGCTTTATATTTTGACCACTTAGTAGTGTCCACTTGTTCCAAAGTAATAAACGCTTTTAACCGATAGAATTCGTGGACCGACACGTTTCGGAAAAGCTCTAAATTTAATCTTTCCTAAGCTTTCTTTGCAAAACATGCGTGGCTTCGTGAACACGCAACGATTCTTAATCCCAGTTTCCACAGTCTCCGCAAGGAACGCCTGGCACAATGACTCCCCTTTTTATGTTCTAAATACGACGAAAAGCACGTTGCGGCATATGAGTCTCGCTGCTTACGCAAGTGAGACTAAAAACAGGGTATTAAGCTCCGGTTATGTGAGCCTCCGGGCTTCCATGTGCATTCACCTTTACCTAACCCTCACCATTTATCATTACATTTTGCAATCATCAAGTCATCAGTTCATTACCCAAGGGATCGTTAATTGTGACATTCTAAGGAACTTGACCCTTTTGAACAATGTGCGCAGTATGAACCAATTTGTAATTTTTAACATATATTCTTCTCATTTTCTTTAACGGTCACTTAAGATCACTTTTGAAAATGTATGGTGAATAGCATACGAAACGTCAAGTTTATAAAAATACGAAAACGCACAATGTTTATCACCGCTGTTTGTGTTTTCTTTATGAGCCAATTTCCTCTGCAGATAGAACATCAGTGATCGGTTTTGAGTGAAAATTTTTCGACGAGGGAAACCAACTCTGAGATTCCCTCAATTAAGATGTGAATCACTACAAAGACTCGAAGGGACTGTTAGTACTTACCAAACCAAAAAGTGCTACTATAATGACAACACCACCAATAGTTAACCCGGCCAACGCACCAGCATTATTCTTGCTAAACCAATTCCCTCTTGGAACTATACTTTCCTTTTTTGACTTGGTAGGACCGACACAGAGTGGCAGAACTTGGGCTGTTATAAAATAGGAGAAAGTTAATAAGGTCAATTAAGATTATATCTTCCAAAGAGAAAAAAAATAGGAGGTGGTCGTGGCGATGTTTATTCTTATTTTTAATTTTATGCCTGCACCTGCAAGCGGGCAAAATGAAGCGCATATTGCTTCTCTGCCTGATTCATAATTGCCCATTAGTCTCCAGCATGGCTTGCCTAAACCATCCAAGACATAAATATTACGGATAAAAGTATTGAATACTTTAACTGCGTTGAGCCGTGTGTTGTTGTTTTTCAATGAATCAGGTAAAACAGGTAAGCATGCAGACGTTTGGTGCGAAGGTGATTCCTATTTTTTCTAAGATTTCATTCACATAGTTATGTGGTTATTCTTTAAGTGTTCAAAGTATCGGAAAAGGACTAAGTATCCTCTAACCTTCTTTCCCTCTAAAACAGACATCGGCATTTGCACAATACGGCTTCTTTAAGGGGACGTTGTCTTTATTGTACACACACCAGTAACAACTGACAATTCCCTCGCACGTCTGAGAGCTGTTTCTCTCACTGCAGCGAGGATCAAAGCATTTGTCTAACGATAGTTGAGAGTCATGACACTTCTTTCCAGAGTGGGGTAGGCTGGGATTGCTTGTTTGCTGTGACTTAGGAGCTAGAGCTGGGCAGATCAGAAGACTGAAAGGCAATAAGATGGCAACAAAGGTAACTGAACAGACGTAAAAACAAATCTATGCTTCACAAAGTTTTGTTTAAGTGGCCCCTGTTAAAGTGTTCGTACTTTCAGTAAAATTAGTCGTAACTTTTACAAAATAATACAGCTGAGCCCATTTTGCATGCAATGTATGTATGTTGTTGTGTATAATTGTTTGTTACATTTGAACTTAAAATATGTAGTAATGCATTAGTGGTCTGCTCGGGAGTCAAACTCACCTGCTGTTTGGGAACTGACTTTGGCAATATTCAAATTCGAGCGGAGAGGTACAAGGACATTCACACTTTGTGGACGGACGGAAACACTCGTTTTCTGAAGAACAGGTACATGATTCAGCAGCGCAAATTGAATCCCGCAAAGCGACTCCTGCAAAAAAAATAAGTCTGTACAGTTGAGTGGGAAACAATTTCCAATCTTTTGGTACTTAGGACAGTACAATTTGATTTGATCACTTTTCCCCCGCTACCTCTGTCGCTTTACGTCGGCATGTTAAGATGGGAAACTACAATAGACTCTTGCTGCCTCCTTAAGGGCAATGTCTAAAAAAAATTGCAATTGTCCTGGCATCTGACTAGTTCTACATCGCAGTAATGGAAAACTACAAAAATCCCAGTTGCAGGAGTGATTGCCCTCAAAGCCAACTTTTGAACCTATGTTTGTATATAGCAAACGAGAGGGGTGTGTTGGTACCAAATATAGTCCGTCACTGTCAACAACAGTCCGATTCAGGATTCAGGACTACGTTCACCCAGATGATCATACTCAACCTACTCATCAAAACCAAGACTCTCTTGCTTGCCACCGCGGCCTTTCAAGTACATAATGTTGCACAAGCAATCAATTCAAGGTAAACTTACGGACCCCGGAGCAATAGGCCCTTTGCATTACTTGATCACGTGATCAACTTTTTGTAAACACAAAAACAGTTTGCTTTCAGAACGTTTCGTTAGCAGGAACTGAAAAAGCATATTAAAATAAGGTAAACTGTAAATTTTCTGTCGTATATCTCAAAAGTAGCGATCGCAAGGGCCGCCGATAATTAGAAGGATTTGTATGGGAAAATCAACCCTTGCCACCCAGTCACGTTTAAGTGGTTTTCCATACAAACCCTTGTAAATTTGGAAATTTTCAAACTGTAGAAAAAATATTTCCTTAAGCATTATGAGGCTCAAATATTCTTTTTACTAATTCGAGGCAATGCGTAAGGGAAAGATTTGACGACAGTTTAAAAATGTCGAAATTTACAAGGATTTGTATAGAACACCATTCACGCGTTACTGGGTGGCAATAGTTATTTTTCTCATACAAATTCTCCTTTTGAGATATACGACTGAAAATTCACAGGTTATTTAATTTTAATATCCTTTTTTAGTTACTACTAACAAAAGTTTTCAAAAGCGAACTGTTTTCACGATTTACGGAAAATTTATCACGTGACTAACTATTGCAAAAGTCCTATTCAAGTATATCTGTTAATTAGCTCTGAAAAACGTGTAGTACCTTAACTTATCCCTTAGACTTGCCACAAGTCGACCTCTGATAAGGTTTTTAGCGAGCGAAGCGAGCTTCAACAAGGTCGTGCAGCGACCGAGCGTGCGACGAGGTCGCAAGGTCGAACAGGAAAAAAAATTAAAGGACTTTAAAGAAAGTCTACTTATCCCCTTTGGGCTTGCTTTTATTTCTGACTGGTTTAAAAGCTAGATCGAGATATCCTAGCCACCGTCAGCATGCAAGCACCATCACACACAGACTACAAAATCACTTACAAACCTAGGTAAGCATTAGTTCCAACAATCTTGTTGAGTTGGTATTTACTGCAGCTGTCTCCACTCTTCAGGACGTCAACTCCACCATATGGCAAATCAACTTCATAAAAACTCTGCTTCTGGATTTCTTTAAGATTACGGCATTCCCGTTTTTTCAAGTAGCCATTTGTAATGAGATGTTCCGCGATATTCTTTTCTTTATTAGTAATGTGAACATATTCCAAGTCTTGGGCAATTTCGGAATGTGCAAGGAAGTCCTCGTGCATGATAAGGAATCCAGCGCTGTCCATAACGAAGCAAGAATAGAATTTTCGTTCTCTACACTTTGGATACACTTTAGTGATCAATCTAAAAAATCAAATGTTTAGTCAGTAGCTGCGGAAAACTACAAACATCCAAAATTCTGAGGCAAATAACAATTAACTAAACCATTAAACTGCATGAAGATGTCATAAAAATTGATAGATGTAAATATTTATCTAATATCCGCCTAATAATAGGAAGCCTAATTTGTTATTTTGTTGTGTCCGTGTCCAGCCGTTTTCGAAACTACTTTTTTCTTTAAGAAGAGGGGTGTGTTTTAGTTTTAAAGTTTTAAAATAAAAAAAATGTACTAAATTATTTAATTATTTCAGTTTTTGGCCAAACAGCACGACAAAAATGGACATTACCTAAATGCAATGAGCTTGTGCACACAGCAAATTCGAGGTTGTAAATTAACACCAAGGGTAATATACATTAACACTGAATTAGTGTTATCATAACACTTGCCGAGTGTTTCTTAAAAGATACACCAATTCAGTGTATGAAAACACTAAAATGGTGTAATAAAGAAATGTGACACACGTTGGCGGTGTAAAGTTACACTACGTCTGTGTTTCAGAAATATTGCAAGTACTTAACACAACTGGTGTGTTATTTTACACCAAATCGTGTATCAAAACACTAACAAGGAGTTTAATCTGAAATTATCAGTTGCATATCCCAGGTCAGAAATGTTTAAAATAAACACCCCGCTCACGTGAATTAGCCGAATAGGTCTATTGCTTTTCAAAAAATATGAGATGTGTGGCAGTGCTTCAGCATGAATGTAGTTATACTACTTGGTGCTAAAAGTTATGTGAATCCTTTATTAAGGATGTTGAAATTTCCTCTTCTTCAAAAATTGACGGATCTCAATATGACAACCAACCTCACGTACTTTATTAAGGGCACAGAACCCTAAAATATAAACGCACACGCAAACACACGAGCATCTACTACCGGGGCCCCACGTGCTTTCCGTGACTAATTGAAAGCACCTGCTTTCAGTGTTTATACGCGGTGAAAACAAAGATAATTGTGCAAATTTAAAATATTCTAAAAAGAAGGCATTTGTCTTATAAGTAAGTTAACCTTCGAAACATCACGAAAACATCGCATTTGCGTTACACCAGTCATTTGTATGCTGCGTGAGGCTCTCGAAAGTGATCTTATAAGTTATATTGAAACGCGTCTATCAACGTCGGGAAGCAAAACAACATCGGATTGTTTTGTGTATGCGGATACGACCAATCACAGCTCAGTCCTAAAACGTTCTCACGGTTTCATTAATCCCTTTGATTGCATTGTGAACATTCCTTTCAAGACGGTACCTTATCAAGTTTTGTTTTGTCCAATCAGAGAAAAGCGGAAAGGTTTCGTGTCTTGTTCAACGTTGCGTGCCCGTTCATAATTATATTCACGCACACCGAAGCAGTAGCTGTTCACTTCACTGTCTGTAGATTCTGCACGAAAGAGTTAAATTATTTAGTCTGTCTGTTTTAAGGGTAAAACCTAGCCGGCTTCACTTATTTTTCCTTGCGAAGATGTTTCAAGAATGGATGAAGAAGGAAGGATTTCAGGCATTTGCCGATCATTTTTATGGTAAGGAAATAACCTGTCCTAAATAATGTGTTATGCTTTTAAAAGAAAAGAAAATCTCTTATACTGTGCCACCAACAGACAATTCGTGAAACGGTGCTCTGATTCATCTTTCTTTTGATTCACCCATCTAACAAAAGTTCCCAACTGAAAATGCACTTTTGGCGCGAAATAACGGAACACGTTGACGTTTTTACTTCGAATTATGTTAAGGCCTGAAAGTTTAGCTTTAAAAACTTTAATTTTCCTTTTTAACTCTTTACTTTTTATCTCCCAAAGCTGAACAGGTTGATGGTGAAGCACTGTTGTGCATGAATGAGGAGACCTTGAAGACCCTCGTGCCCCCCGTTAGCGTTCTCGCTAAGCTTCTTTACAAGATACGAAAAGCAAGGAAGTTCGGATAATTCACGAGGTGTCTACCGAAGTGCGACCTATACATGAAGCAGTTAATTAATGCTGAAACAGTTAGCGAGGCATCTAGCGCCCCAACAGTTGATAAAAAGAGGTGAGAACCTATTTACAGTTACAATGCATTAGTCAACCTATACGGAGCGGGTAGGAGAGAATTCTGGGAACGAGGTTGTGGATTAGTAAGCAAATTCTAAATACATTTTATACATTATTGTGCGCTTTAGATCATATGAATGCTATTTTGCCCCTAATAAATAATAAATTGTTATTGTTGTATTATTACCTATCTCATGTTAAAGCGACACAATTTGCCAATGTTTGCTATCCATATACAATGTAAAAAAACGTATAAACAATTTCAATCATAGAGATACTCGTGATGAAAAATATTATTTTCAGCCATCCTCTCTATTTTACCAATGATTCTTCAATACAGTATTTTTCGATGAAAATGCCTGAGATCTAAAACTGTAAAGTTCTGTTCAGTGACGTAATAATCGAAGCTGCAAAACTTATATTATTAAAATATGTCTGTATAAAAAGATTCTCAATTATATATCTTCCCAAACAACTTACCTTTATCTTTCAGTTCATCATGTTGTGGGTTTCCATAGCTATGTAAAGTTGGATTTTCCGCTTTTAACTAGCTCCAAAGTTGAGAGGCCAGCCCGCTCATTACTTGGAACATGATGAATTGACAGCTGGTAACAATTATAGTTAAAATTATCAGAAAAACTTAAGACGGATAGAAAAACAAAAAAGAAAGAAAGGACGGAAGAAAGACTAAGAAAAAGGAAATACACTCACAGTAATATTCTTCCACCCCCTTTGAACAAATTTTTATTATTTGCGGCATTTTTTTGTAGTTGGAAAAGATCTGATGAGGCAAAAAGGCGTCAGAGACTAGCTCGAAATAAATGAAAACGGCCTGAAATAAGGTAAATAAAGAAAAACGCCTATGAAGAGGCTAGTTCAAGAAAAAAAAGAAAAGACAGATAACCGAAGAAAAATAAACTGTCTTCTGCCACAAAAAAAAAATCAAGAGAAGTTTCACCAACTGTGGTGTCAAACAGAACGGGAAAAAGAAAGATTACTTCATAAATATAAAACAAGTCAATCAATTCTTCAGATAGTGCTGTGGCAGTAACAAACTCATTCCTAGAGATTCCACGGGAACTGATGATGTAAATATGGACAGTGATTCCAAAAACTTAATAACCCTTGGGGAAGGAAAGTTGGGAAAAGTTACACTGGTTTTGCCTTTTATCGAGAAATGCCTGTTGCAGTGAAACAATTCCATGAAGGAGTCTCGCAAGTAGAAGTTGAGGATGAGGCAAACATTATTTCCTCCTTTAATCAGGCAAAACCTTTCATGCTTGTATACTGCAATTCTAATTCGTTTTTCGGCAGGAACGATTCGACCGATTTCTATGATTTTTTTGACAGTTTTTGTAAAAATTCGCTTTTGAATATAAGCCGATATCTCGAACAGTCTTAAACCTACACAAAAATGAACAACATTTTCTCAAATTTGCACTATTCTTTATTAAGGATGCCAAAAATCATAGAAATCAATTAATTCGTTCCTGGGTATGTTTTGGAATCGCGTTTTTTGGTAACGTGCATACCAATAGCTTTGGGCCACCTGAAGAATTGGATGAACATACAAAACTTTCCATTTCAATATTTATTGCCTTTTATCATGCTGTAGTTGAAAGTGTTCTTTTGACTTGTTTTTCCTCTTTATAGAATGGTGATGATGCAAAGAAAGTTGCCCAGAACAGCAAGGAGGGAATGACGCCCTTCATCATCTTTGAGGGGCAACTGCAAGCCCCAGATGATATATACCCATGAGTGGGGAAAGGAATCTCCTTCTAAAGGTTTATGGAGGACATACCAGTGCCTTGGTCACTCTTCTTCTAATATAGTTTGTGTGTAATATAGAATATCCGTAAGAATGCAGAAACTCATTTCTCTCCAGCGAGAAGTTTTGAATGGACAATGTTAAACTATACCGACTAAGGTATTATAGCTCATGAATGAACTGAATCAGTTCTAAGCTCGTAATTAAAGTAAACTAAAATTAAATCTGCACGACTTGTTGTGTAATCTGCCTTTCACAGCAATAGCTAAGCCGAACGACGATGGTAACAACGTTTCTTAAAAAGTAAATCCACATTGTTTCAAATTTCATCTCTCCGGCTTCTGCAGTTCTGTAAAGGACTATCAGTTTGAATTTTTTAAAAAAAGTTGCATGAGAAAATCGTTGTCTCACGCATGGAGTGTGTTCTCATCCTCCCCAAAACTGGTGAAATTAGGTAGTTAAATGTCGTAGTCGTGTAACAACGGCAAGGAAATAAACAAAAATGCGTGATGCACGAGCAAAGATGTTGTTTTAGTAATCTAATCTATTGCTTTTTTCGTAACATTTTCGTCGCCGTCGTCGTCGTATTTAAGCTCCCTAAAAAGTCTAAGAAAAGAAAAACCCACGGTGTACGGCCCTCTTAGTTTTTAACACTTGTTTAAAATTATGCTGTTTTACTGAATTCTGAAGAGAACGAAGTTTTTATTACTATCAGGGTAAAGCAATTAAATGGAAGTAAATATACAGGTTGTTGTCGTAGTTGTTACTTTGTCTACTTTTAAGACTTCTCCATGTGTTACAAGTAGTGTTGGCTCAGCACTCAAACGGTGTGTTATAACACATTTGGAAGTGTTCATTTACACTAATACGGTGTAAAATTCCCAGTTGTGTAAATTTACCTGACTTTGGTGTGCACACAGCTGCAATGGGTTTTACATACATTCAGTGTCATCATTACCCTTTTTTAGTGTAACGAAAACACCAGAACAGTGTAAAGGAGACATATTTTTGGTGTATTTTAACACCAAAATTGGGTTACGTTAACCCAATTTTGGTGTTATTAAACACCAATATACAGAAAATATACACCAAGTCAGTGTTGCTGTAACACTGCAAAGGTGTTTTTTAACGCATTCAGGATCGTATGTAGGTCATATTTACACCATTTTGGTGTAAACATACACGACACTAGTGTTAACTGAACACCTATTTGGTGTTCACACAGCTGCAAAAATTTACACTTTTTTGGTGTTACCATGACACCTCGATTTTGCTGTGTTTGAGCTTGGACTAACCTGTAGAAATAAGCCAGTGAGAAATCAGCTCCCATAACTCCAAGAACCTCGTCATTTGTGTGATGATGGTGACTTGACTCCCCTCGGTACAGGGAGCGGGCGACAGTTATAATCACCCCAGCACCTCTGCCATTAGGTTGGCCAGCGTCCAAATATGGGGTCGTGAGAGTGAGAAGGCCAGTGTTACCCAAAGCCGAATAATACCTAAGTGAACCAAATCATGAATAACAAAAATTTTAAACTTGGTTTAAATTTAATTTTTACCATTACCAAACCAAAAACTAAAGAAAATAACAATTAGGCCAAGGATAGACGGCATGTACACATAAAATATTTTTTCTTAGTCATCAGCACCCATAAAATAGTTTGGTGACGTACATGTATAACTGACAGCACATGCCTCTTATCAAAATAGCCTGGCTTCGAATCTCAAAGGTTGTTGAGTTTGTTGCTGGTTCTCGCTTTGGTCCTTAACTTCATGTGAGATGCTTTTTTCTTTTTCTTTTTTTCGCTGCATGAGGGCACTATTATAAAAACTCAGTAGCAGTGATATAAAAGTCCTTCAAAAGGTTTAAACTTATGCCGACAGATTGTCGATCGTCAGTGCCATAAAAGCCGTGCGTCAAAACATAGAGCAGTTAGGATGCGATATCTTTGAGACCAGGTCGTTGATTTTCCAATTCTTAGCACCCTAAGTTCAGTTTTAGTAAAGATGACAGAAATATCCAAGCGCCCAATTAAGGACATTTCATTCTTTCTTCTGACAAATTGAAAGCCTTTGTTGTTTTGGACAAGCATGAGTGCGTGTGTCAGAACGCCAGAAACTGCCAACTTCGCATAAGAACACTTGCGCTCCTACAATTCCGAACAATCTGTTCAGACTGAACAGAACAGACTGAAAGCCAAGTGAAATGAAGGACAACATAATCCAGAGATACCTGCCAAGAATAAAGAGATTCCCTACTTCAGACGCCACCTGCGGCTCTACAGAACTCCTAAAACTATGAAGATGCTTGCCGTCGTCTCAGGGGAGACGATTTAAATAGAGATATATCAGCTCTCCCTAGGATCACTCACCACCGTTACTGAACCTTTGGGTGGGGAAAGATGAGGAAAAATAAACACCTCCAACACTGAACCTCGTGGACACGAATAGAAAGAGTAAACTCGATAATGGCGATATCTAGACGTCATATGACATCGCCACCCAGTTTACCAGCGACTCCCAAGCAAAAACATTACCTTTTTGATTACTTAGACAGAGAATGACTCCCATTTGGTCAGAACGTGCACCAATGACCCCTGATAAAATGGTATTGATATGGCTGGTCGTGGCTGTACGTTACTGTAACGCCACGTGTTAGTTGTTATCCAATAGAATGCCAGGTTTACACGTGCTCGCGATCTTGTACAGGAGTTTTAAGTGAAGTGACTTAATTGGATTAAAATATCGTTTGTTTATGTTTAAAAGAACCGTTTTGTTTCTATACAAAGCCACAACGTTACAGTTACAAGCAGCGCAATAGAGTCAATGATCAAACCTAAAGTATGGCCAGGGTTTCCCCGCTCTACCCAGTATTAGTGGAACTCTTCATGGAGAAGTCTTAGAGCAAGGATAGATGAACAGGAGTTGTGAACAAGACAAATACAAAGATGATTTTCTACCAAATAAATGAAAAGCACGCCAGCTTCAGCTTCGCCATCGAGCAGGAAAAAAAAAACAACCACTGGAAATAGTAATGAATCCCGCACGATCAACAACTGATCCCTACATAACTGTACGCACCCAGGCACTACTAATCAGTTTTCCTCACGCCACCCTGGGCACGAAAACTGGATATCGTTAAAACGGCAAACCATCATCTTCGAAAAAGAGAAGCACTTTTGCTCTTTGATGCCCAGAATGGACCAGAATGGGTTATTACAGAGATTCGAAATTCCACAGCCAAGAAAAGCTTTAAGTCACGGGTCCAACTCAGGATCCCAGAAAAAAAAATCCTCCAAAGGTGCTGCGGTGTTCCCCGAAGTTAAGAGGATGATAAAAAGGTTGAAAAGGACACCTGCAAACCGAGCGTCAGCGTCGTCTACCCTAAACCAGCCCTGGTTTAGATCGGGGCGACTTAATAGGCCTGGGCTGAATCAACGTAAGCTCCAGTGTTCACTTGCGGTCACAAATTGGCCTATTATAAACAAGAACAACATTTTCCCAACTACCTTGCAAGCGTCATAAAGTACAACTGAACCGCAAGGGTGGAGTACTCCGACATTACCTCCCTCTACGGGAGGCAGGCAGACCACTGACTATATGATGAGTGTTATTTAGATCTTGACCCCGTGAAGTTGTCTATTCTGGTTGAAGACGGAGTGATAGCCTTTCGAAAATTTGGATGATAAAACAGTATCACGCGGCCTATTTGATGTTACAGCCTGATTCAAGGGGTTGAAGAGGAGAGTTCCTACTTACCAGGGTCTTTGTCTGGGATCGTAACTTTTCTGAGATACAGCACCAGGCATCTGCCTGAAAACCCCATCTGCTGTTCCAATATATCTCCACACCAAATATTGCGTCAGCTCAGTCTTTTCACGCAACCAAATGTCTTCCACTTTCCAGGTAGCGGTCACTGTGTCCCTTATTCCCGGTTCTAGACCAGGACTGTTGATCGTCTCCGTATCGTCAGTCATGTAAGCATTGAGCAACTCCAAATCTGCCCTACTCTCTTTTTTACCTATATATTCGTAATTGTCTTTGAAAGCTCCGGGTGCAAATTTTACAACCGTGGTACCTATTAGTAAAAAACACAGAATTCATTTACCTATATATAGTTAGGTGGAATTATCATTCTTTAGTCAGTGTAAAGGATATGCGGAAATTATAAAGGCTTAAGACTTTCTGAAAGGGTGTTTGTGGGTGAGTAAGGGGGGATTCACTGTTAAGTTTCCGGTGAGTCTTTAGCAATGATATTACTCCAGAAAGCTTAACACAAATACTCTTCCAGTGTTATACTGATGCCTGAAAAACTCTTTGTCCCTTTAAAAAATTTCAAGGTACCCCTTTCTTTCCGAAAAGGTAATGGTAAAATCCTCGGTAAAATCCTTGGAAAGTCCTCGAATTTTTGGCTCGTTGAAACACCAGACGAGGATAGGATCAAATTATTATTTTTTTTTTTACAATCGATCAACACAGTCTTTTTTTCTTCACTTTCATGTTGCAGGTTTTATTAACAGCAGGAATTTGAAAGTTTTTAGCGTATGTTATGACTTGAAAATAGTACCTTTTGTTGCGTTTACTCCGAAATGACTGCACGGCTTTTCAAAGGACTGAAGATCGATCCGGTGATACTGAAACTTGTAACCTTTGGGATTTAATGATAACAAATGGCAGGTGATTTTAGTCTTAACAATTGCTGCTGTCGGCTCTTAAGGGTAGTGAAAGCTCACATGCTACAACTTTCATTAGCTGTTTCATTGCGGGGCCGGACTACGTTGGCAGTTGTGAAGCAATGTTGGTGTTTAATTGTCCAAAAATTACTAAATTCGAAGCGTATCCGAGATTAAATTGGCTAGTCTCAGCGTATTGACGAGACGAAAAAGCGCTTTCACTGATTCAGCCAACCGCTCCATAGGGACAGACGTCTCTATTACTGAGATTCTTCTTGACTGCAAAGACAGCAAGGTCGATTCACCTCCATAATCATTAAGGCACCTCTGATTTCTGGTTGTGTCCATGATAAGGAGGTTTGATTATTAGGAAAATTACACAGCAATACTCTCCAGCTAACTAACCTTCTGGAATTGTGACAGCCTTAAGTTTCTCCTTCGCGTAGGCTACTGGTACAACTACACCAAGTGTAAATTCGGTACCATCTACCTGAGTCCAAGTGTACGTTGAATTTACTTCTCTGGCTTCCACTCCTTCCTTGACGTCCCCCCCTCGTGGTAAAAATCGTTTGGCAAGAAAGGTCTTTGAACCAGACCTGCCACTAAGAGAAAAGTGTAAAGCTGTAATATAACTAGTGGACACCTCTAAAATACCTAATGCAGTGAAAATTTCTTTTATTTGTGTCAGAATAACCCACGGATCCAGAGAAGGATTGAGAGTGGTGGCGTTAATTTGAATCTATGATAGAAAGCATGTTAAGGGAGTCCAGTGGTATCAGTTTTCTGTGGGAAAACTTTAAATTTTATGCGTCCTGAAGTGGCTAGATATGCTTCTAAATCTATCATTCTTTAACAATCCTAATATACCTACATTGTAGGCTCAGCCACCAGCAGTACAACAACACAGCGCAGAGGTAAAAAATTGTTACAAGTTAATACACCTACATACTTTGTCATTGAGGTAAAAACATCGTTGAACTCTGCTTCTGGCTCTAATGCACGAATATCCAAATACACTGGGTCTCCATACGCGTCGGTTGGAGCTGGGAGGAGAGGGTGAACAATAGTTCTCCCTGATTTACTGGTCATAAAAGCGTATGCACTCTGTCCTTCGTTTAATAAATTGATGTCAGATACCAAATCCTCCATGCTAATGTCAGTGCCTACGACACCAATAAACATTCCTTTATGATAACATGGAAGGGTTATTGATATTACAAGTCCTAAAATTAGGAAAAAAGAAGTATTAATAAGAAATTAAGGTTTTGCACGCTAGGACTCTGTCACTGTACTCCAAATAAAATAAGACTGAGATGTGAAGGCTGTGGACGCACTGGGACCAAACGAGTTTCAAAGCTTGTCTTTAAGCCCTATGTTTCTTGATGCAGATTTTTGTATTCTTCAACACCTTTGAAAACTTCGTGGTTCTTTTTTTGCTTTGAAGTCATTTAATAATTTCTGTCGCTTTTCCACGTATGGACAAGGCGATCTCGCAGGCTACATAATTTTCTGTTTTGTATTTCTCGCTATTTTTTTTCTGGAGCGCCAAATCTCATGAACCTTACCTCTCCCTTTTTCCTAAGGTAAGTTTTTCTCTCAATGTTTCATACTCATGCCTTCTTTGAACTCTGCGTGGAGCTTAATGGAATATCTAACGGCGTCTTTCAAACGAATAGTTTCCTACGCGCAGTAAACAGAAAAACACAAACCTAGTCCAAAAGCATCAACATATGGGACAGAAGCCACTGGTCGATCAAGCTGCTTTCCGGCTGCAAAGAAGTTGTAGTACAAGCCCATTTTGCTTCTAAGGGTTTTGATGTCTTCTACAGCTATGTATTTTCCCTTCTAATTATAAGAGAGAAAGGAAACAATAACTACCCTGTTTAATCTGGTCCTAGAGAGACTGTCTTCAAAGAAAGCAAACGTCGTTTCGTCGAGTTTTGCATAGGGATAGAAATTTTAATGCAGCTTTTGAAATGTGGAGATACTGACTTCAAGTTGGTATTTCAAAGTTATTGTTCTTATTCCACATATAAAAAGCGCAGAATTCTTATATCAGAACACTTAAAAATTTTACCGTTATGTCTCCAAATGAAGCGTTAGAGAAGACTCCATACTTGGCTGTGTTTTGCAGGGCAATATCTTGAAGAATGTTCATTGTTTCCTGATCTACACCACCGAAACCAAATGTCAAAATGACTACCGAGTTGTTAAGCTCCAGATTCCTGTCTCTTATGGTCTGGAAAATTGCTTTTTTATCATCGGAGGGTGCTCCGTCTGTAAGAAATAAGATAACTTTCCGCTTTGGTTTGCCTGCGTCTTCTGATGTGGTGCCCTTCAGAAGATTAAAAGCCTTTTCAAAAGCCAACCGGTATTGTGTTTCACCTAAAGACAAAAAAAATGTTTCGATGATCATGAATCATTTTACAGCCGCCCGGTTAGGTCAGTAATAGAAATGCCCTGGTCTGCTGAGCGGGAGGCCGCTGGTTCAAACCCCGGCTGGACCAACATTTAGGGTCGTCTTTTTTATTCTTCTCGGATAAGGACGATGAATCATAGGCGCTGTCTCATAACCCTTACATTAATTCTGTGGGACGTTAAATATCCCACACACCGTTTGTAAAGAGCAGGAGACGTAGACGTCCCCGTTGTGGTGGTCTCTCATGGAGGAAGAGACTGTTACAGGCCAGCAGTAATTGGGTCATGCAGTTGCGGAGACCCTGCCAAAAAATTGGCAAATCTAATAAAATAAAATAATAATTGGGATGATAATGGAACGATTTGTTTGTCTTTTTCTCTTGCGCGCGAGTTTCGGAGAAACTTCAACGGAATTGGAGTCAAGCCTGAGAAGAGAGCCGACATTTCAAACGCCAGCATTGGTTTCTTCCGCGAAATGACGTTTGAGGAGCGACTGCAGAAATTCCATACTGATTACCTGTCATTTCCCAGATCGGGTTGTTCTTCTGATTGGGTGAAAGCAAATTGCCCACGCTGAACGACCAATTAGAAGCACCACCCAGAACTGGATTGTATTGTAGTAGTGCGGAATTTCTCATTTTATTCCTTAGAGATCATTTCGCAAGGAAACCAGTGGTGAAATGTTGACTGTTTTTTTTAGGCTACAAGAACTGCCTGCAGATCGTGGTTCCTCTTTAGTTTTAATCGTTTCGATGTCATTTCTGAAATGGTCAATAAATGTATACCATGGAAAATTGCTGTCGATTCGTTTACTTAAAAAACAAAAAAACAAAACTGTAATTATTGAGCGGTTAAACCTCAGTCACAGGCAAAATGTAAACCTAGCTATCAAAACAAATATATATCTGACTGGATTTGCTAAAACGTGGCTAAAGAAATTTCAAGTGCATTTTAACAATTTGACATCTAATTGGAATGGAAAGCAGTTAAAAGTCACTAGCTGAGGCTAAAAAATGACAACATTATTGTTGGAAATAGACGGTACAGTTCTCTAATAGGTAATAGGATTTTG